CAATACTCTTAAAAATTCAATCTAAAAATACTCCGGTTGCTAATGCATCGGAGATTAGCATTTTCAAAAGTTTATTTATTTATTTTATTTTAATGTGGTAGAAGTCATAGAACTCTTATGTTTTAGAACTTTTAAATATGTACCATGAATAACCAACTAACATGTTACCAACCGAATCAATAAAATTGGTTATCAATATATATGGTAGCTAACATGTTTGATTGGTAGTACCGTATCAATTCAGTAAGTTTGATACGGTAATAATATTAAAATTTAAATATCACGGTATTACCGTACCAACCAATTCATATATATATATATATATATATATATATATATATATATATATATATATATATATATATATATATATATATATATATATATATATATATATATATATATATATATATATATAAACGAAATCTTATTTTTAAATGTCAAGTGTTTATGCTTACGATTTTAAAAAGTATGATATTAGACATTAGACTTAATCAATAGTTATTACCACATTAGATTAAAAAACTGAAAAGTTACTTATTAAAATGTTTTAGTAACTAGAATACTTAATTTACTAATTTATATTAGTAGACCAGAAAAGTGTCCCATATTGTTACTAGTATTTAATTATTACAATTGAAAATTAAACCAAAGTTGGTAATATACAATTATCAATTTGTATTAACCAAACTTTTTGGTAGCCAAACAAATTGGTATCAAGTACAGTTGGTACGGTATTGGTAGCAAAAAATTTATACCAATTATAGTTGATACGGTACATGGTTTGAGTAAATCAACTGGTACCGTACAATGTTTAGCCTTATTATTTTTAAAGAGAAAATAACCATAATAGTCTTTTTAATGTTTTTCTATAAAAATAGTCAGTAAGATGGAAAATGACCAACTTAACTATAACTTTTATAATACACATATGTGAAAATTAACATTGCATGCGAAAGTATACCACTTGACTGCAAGGGCCAAGGGGCGTTCGGTTGTAAGAGTACAAAAACCAATTTTACGCTACATTTTCTGAAATCCCAAATTCTCTCCAAAGAAAATGGCTGGAAATGACGATGATCTTCCCCAATTGTTTAGTTATCTGTTCATATCTATGTTTTTTTTTTCATGTTTATAGCCGAAAATTAGAACCTGTACCATTTGGTTGAATATTTCCAAAGGTGACAGTAAGTATTAATAATTGATACATGTGAAAATGCAGATTTTCGCAAGTTAGACATTCAAAAATCTATATTATAGTAAGTACCGTCTATGTAAATCTAAGATTCTTTTTTCAATATTTTGATTTTTTCCGTATAAAATTTTAATGTTTTGATTTGTGTGTTTTTGTTTATGTAGCATGGGTTGCAGTCGTCATATAAAGGGTCTATGAATATAAAGGCCAATGTGGGGAAAGTTAGAGCTACAATCCTCCGTTTAACAGGTAGAAGTTTTGGCTTATTCAGTAGTACGTCGTTTGGATATTGGATGGTCATACCTCCCATCGAGGGGTACTCGTTGCTTCTTCATTGGTTGATGTGGTTTCCTTCTTTTATAGGCGAACGATTTATATATTTCAGTACTTGGGGCCAGACCATATCAATTATCATCCCCTGGTGACGCTTTTCCTCATTCTCCTCGTACCGATTCACTAACACATACAGAGCCTTCAGCATGACTGGACCGCCTTACCAGGCATTTAGCCTATCTGGACCACTCTCGGAACCTTCAACATGTCTGGACCGCCCTCTTGGCCTTCAGCCTGTCTGGACCGTTCCCCGAGCCTTCGGCCTGACTGGTACACCCACAGGCCTTCAGTCTGTCTGAACCGCTCAAACTGTCTTACGTCACCCTGAACCATTCTTTCCGGGAATCTCTCCCGTACATACTATTCTAGCCCTCTTGGGGTTCCGAACTCTAACTCCATTCTTTATACTCAAATCCTGTCCTAACCCTAGGCCCAACCTTGTTCTATATCCCGCCCCACTCGTCTGCTACTTAATTATACCAGCACACGCTCTTGGCTAACTAAAACACTGCTAAAACCCACACAGCTAATTGACCTCTCATGTTGTCGATCCTCCAAAGAATTTTCCAATTCTCCCCACTTAGAGCACTGACTACAAACCATCGGTGACTGAACCAACATAATCATTCATTCCTACTCAACATACGCCTCTTACCCATGAACTGATCCTGAAACAAGCAACTTCCACAAAATCACGTTCCGACCGCGCACATCTCGTACTCTAAGGGAGTTCGATCCTCAGTTGAGTACTCCTCAAATTGAAAATGTTATACGCGACACTCAGACCAAAAAGCCTAATTCCCCACCAACAATTCTCATGGATGATAACCAACTAAGACTCCCAATACCAAAACCCTCGATCATACGATAAACCCGACGAAAAGACGAACAAATACCATACCATGAATCATGCGAACGAGACTAGCATACATAAAATACTCCATAACAACCATAAGATAACAAGATATCAAGAAGGAAACATACCCACAGCTATATCCGACTCTGCCTTGACCTCCTCTGCTATAAGCTGAAAAGCACGTCCCTGAGCCCTCGGGGGCTCTGCTCCACCCTAACCTTCACTTGTAATCCTCAAAGTGGCCGGTGCTAGAGCCTGCACCGGTCCGACAGTAAGCTGTGGGCAGTTGGCCCTCATGTGACCAACCTGATGGCACTGATAACAAATCCTCACATCATGAACTGGGGCTGACTAATGGAAATCCCTCGCATAATGCCCCTCTCTCCCGCACTTGCGGCACGCACCACCGGACCTACAAATTCCGGTGTGACCCTTCCCACACTTCCCACAAGTGAGGCTGCTCTGATCTCCCAACCTATAATCAACGGTCTTGGACCGTTTCGGTGCTGGTTTCGACTGCGTCAGGGCTTGCCTCTGCTCTCTCAACTGTATCTCAATCTCGGACTCACACCGCCGAACGGCCTCCTGCAACTCTAACAAGGTATCACATCTCTGCGTGGACACAAACTGCCTGATGTCCCTCTTGAGCATACTTAGGTATTGGGACATCTGAGCCTGCTTCGAAGCAAACTCATGGCAAAACATCGTCCCTCTCAGTAAACATCCTTGTGATCTTCGTCATCGACTCTGCATCTTGCTTTAGCTCGATGATGAATCAAAGAATCGAATATAGAATGAATTATAGAGTGAATTCAAAGTAAGTATGCAATATTTCAACACCGATGTAAATATGATTTGTTTGGCTCTATTATGCTTTTTCAAAGTTTACAGAGTACAATGAATATTCTGTAAAGACTTCGTTACTAAGATACTAGTAACTTCTCCTATTTTTAGGAGAGGAAAGCCTCCAAAAAATATACTAAGGACTAAAACATTATGCTTCGAATATTACGCCTTAGTAAAATAAAAATACAGAAAGGTTCGAAGACCCTAAATACAAACTTTGACTATTACAACACTTTGACCCTAACAATCTCCCCCTTTGTAATAAAAGTCGAAGTCTTTAGTTAGTAAGTATAGTGATGGAGTAAAGCAAAACTCTTCGAACTTCAGTGTACCAAGAAATAATCTTCTTCATTTCCTTCTTATCGCCTTCATTATTCTTTTTACAATGGTTCATACGAACAATTAAATTCGTATATTGAGATGTTGAATATCTCTCCACTTCGCTGGCTTGAAACAAAAATCTCTTCTCTTTTCCAGCTTTATCTTTCCCAGCAAAAACAATTCCAAATGGCTTTAAACATATTTCTCCATCTGCAAACTTCTCTAACTCAGCTTGAGTCAATGAAGGAGCCATTAGAACTTTAACTTCCATTCCCTTCGCAGTTGCTAGCTCCACATCAGTTAGTGCAAGGCACTCATAATAGTTTTCAATGAAAATTTTGATGTGAGCAACTCCAAGTTTGAATTCTTCCGGATCAGTATTTTCCAAATAGGAGAAAGATTTGTCTTTAAGAAGCAATGCAACTTGTATAAGATCATACAAGTTCATTAGAGGAATGTCAGCAATGGTGAATTCGCATTTTTTACCATTTGCACTGGCCACAATGTATTTTACATTTTGAACAATTTTTTCGAAGACCACATCTTTCTTCATGCTAATCACCTTTTTAATCTTGATTAGTGACTAGACTTCCTCAGGTGTTTTACCCAAAACTGCATGAAATCGAATCTTCATTTGGGTTCCTTCATCCTTTTCTTTGAAATTCCCTTCTGCTTTAAATTGAGGCATGGTGAACATCATCTCATTAACAGGGAAATCCAATTGACAAGCATCAGTGTTTGTAACCACATAACTCTGTTTTGGCTTCTTTTCAAATGAGTACATGTGGTTAAAGGCAACCAAGGATTCGATTGTTTCATAATTGTAATGCTTAGCTGGATCATCTTTATTCATACCCTTCGGATCTCCAGCCCTCTGAGTCATGATGCTTTGAACAAGCATCATTCTCTTGAGTTCAGCTTCAGCTTCAGCCTTCTTTTCTTCCTTGGATTTTTCAACTAAAATTGATTTGCCTTTGTCTTTCGAAGCATGTTTTTCAGTTAAGTCTTTTGGCTTCGAACCAATCCCCCCAGACTCCAAATGTTTACCAATAACAATTCCTTTCGACATTGTTCGTGTAGTTGGCAATGTTGTAACAATTGTTGAAGTCACTGGTTGAGCGGACACAAACACTGGCTTCTTCGATGGGATTTTCGATGAAAATACCTTGCCCACAACTTTCGATTCTTCTTCTTCTGTGGACTTCCTTTCTCCCCCTTGCACCCCTACGAAAACAGGAGGGGCAGTTGTTGTGGGAAGAAGACTAGATATGCGAAAGAGTGGAGCAAGTTGCTTGTTTAGAATAGCTTCAAACTGAACAAATTTTTGTAAAAAAAATTTAGGAGTGATCAAGGGAGACGAAACTGTTTTGTGGATATCTCCTTCAACTCTTTCAATAGCTTCATCACTCCTTCAAAATTTTCAGTTTCAGATTTGGAGATTTGATCAATTTATGGACTCAAACCTTCGTACATTTTAACAAATTTAGTCACTGCATCACATATGATATCGACCTTCTGACGTAAGGATGCATAATCATATTGAACAGATACAATTTCTTTGTTCATTTCTTCATGAAGCTCTTGGATTTTCAAATTCACATCCTCTTTTACCATCTTAACCTCCTGAACAAAAAGAACATGTCGTTCTTTTGATACGCTTCGTAGATCTTTCACTTCTCCCAGAAAATCATATCTTTGACTTGTAAGACGAAGCTCATTTGTTTGATCTGAATAATCAACCTTCTCCATAATCACTATCTTCGAAGCCTTTAACATACCTGATCTGAATAATCAACCTTCTCCATAATCACTATCTTCGAAGCCTTTAACATACCTGACACTTTGGCAATTATTCTGGACTCATACATCTTTAACATTGAATCAACCTCCAAACTAGAAATTAATGAACCTCCTCCAAGATCAGCTTGGGATTGAATAATGGAGTTCAACTTTTGATTCAAAATCTTGTATTGTTTCATGGTCACGAGCATGTGATCAGGGAAATCTTCTTCTTCATCTTAAATTTCCAAATCTTCGAATGTTCCTCCAAACCCTTCATGATTTGTTTCAGTGGGTGAAGTTGGTTTGGGGGTATCAGTTGATTGAGAGGAGAACATGGAAGTGATTGGTTGATTGAGGATGTGTTCAAAGGTTGGAGAGGTAGTAGTTGAAGTAAGAGGAATGGTTGATGTTGGTGTAACAAAAATGAATGATTCAAAAGGACTAGAGATAAATGGACCTTGAGCTGCATCCTTCGAAACATTTTCACCCAAGCCTGAAGTTCTTACCTCCTCAAAATTTTACTTGGCAATTGAAACTTCAGGGGTGAATATGACACTGGTCTCTGGAGTTGAGCTTGTAAGAATAGAGGTGACTTTTGGAGTTTCTGGTACTCGTTTATCCTCTTCAGTAGACTCACTTGAGGAAACAATCTTTCGAGCCTTCTTCATCTTCTTCTTCTTTGGTTGGGATAAAGGTTTCGCCATATCTTCGGCTGCTCGTTTCTTGGATGCGGGAGAAACAGGAACAGGAACCTCACGAAACATTACTCCTTGATGAGAAAGTTGAGGTTTACGAAGCAGTTTCTGAGACGAAGACTTGCGTTTATGCTTGGATTTCATCTTTATTCTTTGAAACATCCCTGTTTTCGAAGGAATAACCACATTTTCTTGTGACTCTTCCACTACTGTCGTAATCACTTTCGTTGCTTGGACTATCACAACAACATTTAATGGCTTCTGCTTTGTGGATTTGGATGAGGTTGAGCCCTTCGCTTTCTTCTCAGGAGAGGTAGGCTCATCTTTCTTCGACTTCTTAGTCTTCTTTGCTTCGCGTGGTAATAAAATTCCCATAGGAATAGATGAATCGAAGGTTTTTAAATATGCCTACAAGATAAGATTCGAAGGATCCGCTCTTTTAAGCATTGCATCGGGAATCCGAGCAACAATTGGAAATTCGTCAGCATCATCAACAACCTCCTTTGGAAAATGATAAGATTGAAAACTAACCTTTTCTTCTTCATTAGAGACCAGAATACCTTCCTTGTTGTAAAAATGTTATAAAATAAGACTCTAGTACCGAGCACACGAAATGTCATGAACAACATTCGTGTGTTCTACCCCTTTCTGGAACTCCTACCATAGCTGTGTGGAATAATCAGCAGGAAGATCATAATATAGACCAGCCACCATGGCATATGTCTCCATTCTTCCTTTATCCAAGCCAACTGTTCTTCCAGTTAAACAATGCAAAAATATTCCAAACAAAAAATTCCATAGTTTTGGAAGACCAGACTTCTAAAAATCACTGTTCTTTGACAATGGGGGCTGATATCCCATTTCATTAAACATGTGAATGATCTGAGAGAATTGAAATTCAAGAAATGGAGGTGTATTTGGAATATCAAGAATCTGGCAAAACAGTTTCTTGGAAAGCCTAACCTTTTTATCATTGATTAAAAGAAAGGTAATCGAATAAGTGGCTGTCACACCCCCAAACCAAGGATGGCGGAAACGTCCGGGGGTGGAGGACTTCGTGTAGAGTATCACAACAATGAGTATAATAGTGCTCAAAGTAAATACAACCAACACAAATATAATTGAAAACGTTACATCAAAGCACATGTTTACATGATTCACATCAATTACATTATAATACAAAATGAACTATTTGACGATTTATCGTCCCATCCTCAAAACGTTGTTGATTTCCTGTTTTCACTGAATTCCTGAGAATACAAGTAGTTTTGAAAAGTGTCAACACAAAGGTTGGTGAGTTCATAAGAGATTTCGTTAGAAAAGTAAATCGTTTTCCTTGTAAAAGCGTCAGAATATGTATCCAGAAAATCCTATATTTTCTGTAAAATCTGTGTAAGGTAGTCTTATGACTGAAGACCAAAATGTATAAGTAATCTTTCTTATTAATAGAAAATGTTATGTATTTAAATGGACATGGACATGTTTGAACTAAATGAAATTTCTATATGTTCTCAGGTTTGTTAATACATTATATATACGTAGTCCTAAATTAGAGGACCGAGTAATAACAAGTATTGACCATACTTCAAAGTGTAAATGTGGTTTCAAATGATGTGTAGTCGTAACTACCAAAACCAAAAGTGTACAGTAATATCTGTACTCATAGAGATAAAAAGGTGATTTTGAATCGACATAAAACTCATTTAGGTTTTAAAAATAAAATCCCGTAAACTTATGGATTGTTCCCTATGTGAGCCGTTATAATCATACTATGACTATGTGAACCTGCCACGACGTTCTCAGTGTCGCGAAAAATAAAATGACATTTGTCACCCGTAGACCTGCAGGTCCAACTGTAGCTAGCAGCAAGGTGTGGGGTGTCAATCCCAATATAGATCTATATACAAGTATCACGTTCTCCCTCAAGGAGATTCTGATTATAACTACCAGGAATTATATTCCCGCACTCGGACGTACGGGGAGAGAGAGAGAGAGAGAGAGAGAGAGAGAGAGAGAGAGAGAGAAATAGAGAAACTCACAATATAGGATAACAAGTTTACGTTAAATGTGTGTGAATATAAATATTTCTTGTATGAATGTACCCTTCTTGTACGAGTGCGCAGAGTGATGTATCATAAACTATACCTATTATAGTTTATCTAAAATGTATGTAATATGTATGAATCCTTTTATGGAAATGTATTAGTGTTGTGAATTTATCAAACCATAGATTAACTTACGTGAAATGTGTGCGAATAGAAATCTTTCTTATATGAATGTACACTTCTGGTACGAGTGCGTAGAGTGATGTATCATAAACTATACCTATTACAGTTTATCTAAAATGTGTATAATATGTATGAACCCTTTTATGGAAATGTATTAGTGTTATAAATATATTCAAACTATACTTTTTATAGTTAAATAATACGTGTTCCAAAATGAATGGATAATATTTAATATGAATGTCTTAGTTTCAGTTCATAATGATAAACTAACTAGGAAACACATTCAAACATTAAAACTTATGATTATACACTTTGCTCAACATAATACAAAGTGTTATGATATTTACATGTTGTTGGTAAATTTAGCAATTCTGCCCTGTTTTGGAAAAATCATAGAAAAATCATACGAAGTCGAAAACTAGATCCGTAAATTCTGAGAGTTCACAAAATGTGTCTAGTTTGCTCATAATTTTTATCACAATTTATAATGACCTCTAACTTGGGTGAAAAAGTCCATAATCACAGACTGGTCCGGATTGTTGTTTGAAGTGATAGGCAGTTTTGTAAAAATCGCCATAAATTGTAGAAAAATCGTATGGAGATGTGCAAGTAGCCATTTTAAAGCTAAAAACTTGAACTATTTGCACCTTGTACAGTTTTGAAAACAAAAATGTGTAAGATGCCCAAAACAGTCCGTGAATGGAGTTGAACTTTTCTGATGAAGGCTGTTAGAAAACTTTTGATAGGTTCTTAGTGTTTTAACTTGTATTCACCCCCTGAAAACTTGAGAAATCATGAAAATGTAGGGGTATGAACTCACCTTGAGTGATTTCAGTAGATGATTGTTGAAGAATGGAAGTGTTTAATTCAAGAACACTTGGAGATGCCTTGAAGGTTTTCGAGAATCTAACATCATAGTTAGGGAGTTTGTGTAAGCAACCAAAGATTTGAGTAGAATGAAGCGAAATAATAATAGGGAGGATGAATTTTTACTTACTAAGTGTGGAAGAACACTTGAATCCAGCCTTGGATCTCGAAAATTTGTGTAGAAGAGTTTGAGAGAAAGAGTGATGTTTGTTACTTAGTGGGATGAGAGAAATGAGAGAAAATGAGGAGTGTGGTTGATTGTTCCAGCTCAAAAACGTGGGAGTGAGTGAAATTTGAGTGTAAGGGAACATTGAAGTGACATAGGTAAGGTGGGGAGGTATGGCTGGTCATAGAGTGGGTGTGGGGTGGTTGCTTGTGACTGCGGATCAATGACACTGCTTTGAATGCGAAGTTGGATTTAGCTTTGCTATAAGTTTCAATCGATTTTGAAATTGAGTATTGTTCGCATTTGTATGAGTGTAGTCGATGAATCGATAAAGCAAGAACATATGAGTTTTGATTCGCAATTGGATTGATGATTGAGGGATGATTCGTGAAGAAAAAACGCGAAGTCAAGGACTATGAAACTGTTGTTTGCAAGAATTTAAAAACTCGATTGTGGAGTTGTTGATGCTCATTTTGCGAAAGTAAAACAATCGAGTGTTCGCATCTATGAATCAATTTGAAGTCAATTGGGTTAATATTCGCATATGGGTTCAACATATGAATTTTTGATTTCGCAAGTTTAGAGTCATCATGAACTAAACTGTGTTCGCATTTTTTTTTTTGGAATGAAAATTTTGTGAATCGCATTTGATTTATTTGGTTAAAATGCGAAGGTGATTAATGCGAAGGGATGCGAAAGGTGTAAAAATGAAAATGCGAAGTATTTCACAGTAGAATGCGAATTGGGGAAGAAAACAGAAGATTTCAATTATTGTCCCTGGAGTTTCGCATTTTTGGAATGAAAATTTTGTGAATCGCATTTGATTTATTTGGTTAAAATGCGAAGGTGATTAATGCGAAGGGATGCGAAAGGTGTAAAAATGAAAATGCGAAGTATTTCTCAGTAGAATGCGAATTGGGGAAGAAAACAGAAGATTTCAATTATTGTCCCTGGAGTTTCGCATTTTTGGAATGAAAATTTGTGAATCGCATTTGATTTATTTGGTTAAAATGCGAAGGTGATTAATGCGAAGGGATGCGAAAGGTGTAAAAATGAAAATGCAAAGTATTTCTCAGTAGAATGCGAATTGGGGAAGAAACAGAAGATTTCAATTATTGTCCCTGGAGTTTCGCATTTTTGGAATGAAAATTTTGTGAATCGCATTTGATTTATTTGGTTAAAATGCGAAGGCTTAGGAAATTTTTTTAACACAAACTTTTCTCCTGTGATGTTTTCCCATTATCATAACAAGTTATACAATACGAACATAACACTTACCCTAATACATAAGGTTAGTTGAGCTGACCGGTTTGACTCGTTGACTTTATTTGACTTTGAATTGACCAGAATTTGACGGGTTGTCACATCATCCCCCCGTTAAAGGGAATTTCGTCCCGAAATTTGAAGTTAGGCAAGGGGTAGGCCATGAATAATCAAGCCGAGAAGTGAGGATACTTCCTAATCGACTGACTCATGCGCTCCCATGTGACTCTAGGTCCGTGGTTAATATTCCAGCGAACTTTCACTAATGGGAAGTGGCGTTGTTTCATCCGCTTGAACTCGATCCATGGTCACCATGGTTCTTCTAAGAAAGGTGAGGCTCTTGTGGAACTCGATCTCGTCGAGGGGAATTGCAAGAGTCTCGTCGGATAGGTACTTTCTTGTAAATTTGGGACGTGTTGGGTAGAGTGTACTTTACCAAAACTCGCGGGAGTAGATTGAAGGAGCGAGTTACAGGGCTGATTCTGACAAAGAATCTCGAAAGACACAATTATCGGGGTGTTGGCTTTCCATGCTTTCCGAAGCGTACTAAGCCTTCCCAGAGTGAGTGTCTCTAGAGGAATTTGATCAGTTATACCGGCGTTCTAAAGGTTTCTTCCTCTTGCTTCTCTTCCTGTCAAGGGTTGCTTCCTTTTGGGTCAAAGTTGGAGGGTTTCGTATTTTTCGAGAAGTTCCAAAGGAACTAAGACAGTAGGTCAGCAAGACCCAAAATCTTGGCGTATTTCTGCTAACACCTTCGGTGCTGACTGTTTCTCAATGGTTTTGATCAATTGAAAGGTTCCTTATGAATTTCCACCCTGGGTAACGATGTGTCTTGAGAATTGAACTCCTCA